GGCCGGCAACGCACCTCTAATCCCTCTGGTGTTGCGGATGTTCATGGGCGACGGTGACCATCAGGTATGCCGCATGCACGTTTGCCTCCTCTTCCATAAAAAAAATATATTAAATACGGTTTTATACTTAATTTATGTATCAAGTCTACAGCTAAGAGCAGCTCATAGCCTGATAGTGAAAATCTTTCCAGGTCCACTTGTTCTTTCAGCAATATTCCTCGACTCCTTAGGCCATCGAGTATTTCTTTTTTTCATGGGGAAATGCCAACATTTACCCGTCTCCCATGGGTCAGATCAAGTTTTCAGGCTTGCTCCGATTAAAACCTATGTTACAACGCTTCAGCATACTTCCGCAGTCCTACCGTTAGAGCCTATCAAAATCTGTTAAACTGTTAAATCTATAACATAAAAATGAATCGCTGAATGTGTTGCTAGCGCAAATCTCGAGAGCAGCTGAACCGATTTTGTTAATTCTTTTTTTATAATATTCCTTTAAGTACGAAGATGGTTCTTACGGAGAGAAAAATTTAAAAAATTGCCTGATAAAGTCTAATAACAACACTTTTCTATATTCCCATACAAAAGATTCGTAATAATACTTAAACGTCAATTTGAACTTTAATACCATACCATAAAGTTTAAGTGTTAGTGGAGGGGTTCCGGGAAGGCAAAACAATTGTGTGACGTTAGTATCGTATAAATATTAATGTCAATATTTGTAAATATTTATACACACTGGCAGATAGCTGATGTTATAAGAAGTAACTTGGGCTGCTTTTATTTTAGGGTTCCGCGAAAAATAACTCCACGCGGGCGAAGTAGCGGGGAACAGCTAGTATAATATAATGCACTGGTTTCTAAGATACGGTTGTTACAACTAGTTTAGAAGCCAGGGTTCCATTTAATTGCTATAAGATTTGTGGCAAATAAAGAATTTATTTATTTATTTGTAGGCCCCCTTAGATGTCCTCATATATATTTACCGTCGTTGCCACGCTTGGTACGTGGATTGGCAACTGCTGTTTTTAGTGTTCCGTACTCCGTAGTTAGGTACACAACAAGGAACCCTTATAGTTTCGCCATGTCATCGGTCACGTTCATAGAAAATGACCTAAAACTAGCTGCATTATAACTTTGTAATGTTATTGTAAACTGTAAGAAATAAACACTTAATTATATGCATTACTACTATAACTTTACTTTTTTATTTGTGGAATAGGCAGGGAGGATCTTTCTTACGTACTTACTTACTTACAAATTATTATTTTTATAGATGAGGGTGACAAACAAGCGCACAGTCCATTTGATGGTATGACTGTAACCCATAGACATCTACATCTACCCTCCCTCGATTACGAATCAAAATGCAGATGCGTTGTCACCCGTAAGGACTAAGATGGAATGCCTCGTTTCCAGTAAAAATGGTCTCCGGTTCTCTACACTCACCATACGAAACACAACAGCGTTATGCTGCTATTTAAAACTGGTATTCTGTGAGAGCGTGGTCCTTCCCCGGTCGAAGCAACCCATTTGTTTTTTTTTATATATAGTGTAATGTCTGCTATCTTCTCTAACCACTGTAGTGTAACACAGGCTCGGCACGCACTTTAACTAAACAACACGTCCATTCTCGCCCGAGGCTCTCGTGTAACTGACGCGGTGCGCTCGAGACAGTGACTTATATATAAATGTATGTTTGTGTATTTGTGCATGATAAATTATTAGTAAATAAAACAAATAACAATATTTACTGTATACTACATATATGCAAACACTACATATAGGATAGGTGACAAACGAGCACACAGTCCACCTGATGGTAAGTGGTTGCTGTGGCCCATAGATATCTACCGTCACCCGTGAGGACTAAGATGGAATGTCTCTTTTCCAGTAAAAAGGATCTCCGGTTCTCTACACTCACCATACGAAACAGCAGTTTTGTGCTACAACTATACTACTAATATAGCTGCAGCATGGCTCTACCACGTAAATTATTTAATTTTAGTTGATTGTTATTGCAGGCCTCATTCAAAGTATTCATACAATAATATAACCTCACACAGTTTCAATCGTCATACTTTTGGTTTGGACCCTCAGGATAATTTATAGTGAATTAGAAATGTATTAGGTGGTGGTTTACAGGAAGATCCGTTACGGTCATATATGTATATCTTAGGATTGCACTGCCGGGTATATATAGCATATAGATGTAGATAGATAGTCAACTAAGACAATCTTTGTAGGGACTTGGCATGTGAATAATTTAAAATTAAAATGTTTGTACAGCCGACTTCAATATAACTTACTAAGAATAACTTAAAAACTATTAGTCCGACCTTGATCAAATTCATATAGGACCACACGAGAAGTATCAGCAATCAAATAAAAAAAGAAAATCGGTTCACCGAGTAAAAAGTTATGAGGTAACGCATAAAAAAAACATACAGTCGAATTGAGTACCGTCTCCTTAGTGGAATTTAGCAGATGATTTGATGTAAATTGTATAATTTTCAAAATCGAAAGGATTTTTAAAGTTTAATCCCTATAAGTCTTATTTGAAAATTAGTCCTTCAGTTATAATCATCAAATTTGGGCCTATTTTTAGTCGTTATAGCGGTCAACCGCGAACTTACTTATTATGCTCATTATCAAGAAAGCCCACATATTGTGACGGGCAAATACACAACTTTACCTCTACATTGTGCGTGGCCTGACACGCACTTGGCCAGTTTTTTATGTTTTAGTTGTTATTAGGAAGACGCTGCTATTTTTTCCTGGTTTGTTTCCTTCTGCCGCCTCTTACAACCACGGGACGATATGGGGTAGTGGATATTCTCACACTGCCACGACACGTCCGTAGCCCTGCCACGGAAAAAACTTCTCCACCCAATTCACCGAGCGAAGCACGCGCTGATGAGTCTGACTGACCCTCCAATAGATGTTACACTGGCTTTGTCCGTTTTATGACATGCCATTCTCCTTATAGGCCCACAATCTCAATAACTTTATTACATTATGTAGGTACTTTATAATACAATAAAACGCCCTTACAGTTGAGTTATATATTATATACTTTATTTTATTGCTATATATATTATTGTATACTTAAATTTCACAGTACTGTATGTTTAGTTAGTGATAGCGAAGTAAAGGATAATGAAAGATATTATGGTTTCCGACAGATGACTGTATAACCATGTCTTTACGCCAGGCGAAAAATACTATGATCAGCGACGGGAAGTATCACCAATATTATGTATGATCATCAATTCGCCTGACAAACGTGACGAAAAGCAAATCTTCCCTACAAATGTCGAGCAGTCGACTTTAAAGGGCTGATGATTAAGAAAAATTACTCAGCTGCAGTTTGATCCCGAGGATCATAATATAGAAGGCGAACATTGTATACAAACCTGCAAATTTGACATCTTCAACAGCATCATGAACTTTGCCCTTTTCAATTATTCTTTAAAAAATGAAGACGGAGTGAAGGAGTGTCATGCAGTTGCAATGTTACATCCATTTAGTAGATTTTTTGCTGTGCTCCATTGATAGATAAAAGGCACAGATCTTAGAGGATAGTAAGCTAAGCTAAGCTTGTTTAGGTATACTCTAATCTAAGGCAAGATGAATTCCATTCTTTAGGTAGAACAGTTCCATGATACAAGACAAATTTCTGGTGGGTAACTTTTTATAAAAATATAATAAGAAATAGATCTGTTCTTAAGTAAAATATTTAAAAAAAAAACTTATTTTCTAATAAAATATTTATTATAAAACTTATATCCTAATACACTTGTGAGGATAGGCTTCATGCTATGCAAATACACTATAACATAATAAAAATTGAAATAGAAATGTCGATAGTTCCAGAATTTATACATTCTATATATTTTCTGTCATTGCTAAGTTCACAAAATCCGACATAATCAGTGTTAAAAAAAAGCTGTGTATCAGATACAATTACACCAAAAAAACTGCTAGGACCTGGATGATTTAGCATAAAAACTCAATTCTGGATTTATATCTCCATTATTACAATAAACAGGTAAAATTGTTTATACTTTGGTTTGTAGGACAATCTCTGGAACATCTGGTTTAATTTTGATTACTCTTATATAGAACATTATTCCCAAGTGATAGGTTATATTCTATTGTAATGAAAATTCATTTTCGTTATGAAATTAGCATATTTATAACAATCGGTTTGGAGAAAGATGAGCTGATTGGTCGCTTTATTTGTGAGTGCTGACCAGTTTAAAAAAATACAAATTAAACAGTTAAGTATATAGTTATAGTGAAATTTTTTCGTTAGTAATAGGCACTTCTGTAAAAATGGAATAAATTTGCTTTTATCTGAATTTCACACAAGTTAAGCCCCACAAGGCAGCTATTACATTATAGTGTAAATGGGGACGGTTAAAAAAAATATAGGATAATTATCCTATACGAGCAATCCACCCCGGCTTTGCACAAGTGATTTCTGGATCTCGACAATAGTACCACTAGGTCCAAATGTGAATCTAAACCATGTAATGACCCATTCAAACACACAAATTTCATCAAAATCATTCGAGTTGTTATTGAGTTTCAGCTATACTAACGGACAGCAATTGATTTTTATATGTCCTATATATTATAAAAATACTAAGTAGCAATATTGTGTATTTTTGTAAGTGTTATTAGTATAACTAATATTCCCATTAACCATTCCACATCAGCTTAAAATTCTTAAGTTAAGAGTGAAAATAAAAGCAATGGCAATTAAATACAGTTCAATAGACTAAAGAATAAATATTAAGGCCTTATTCAATGCTGAGAATATAAAACATGCTACTAGGCTCTGTAATTGAAATCAATATTAATACATAAAATCCCTTTGCTTTTCTTTTCTTACAATACAACAAGAATTTAATTTTTGTACTTTTAAGTTTAAACTATAACATGTATGAGTTCTTATAAACCTAATATTTGAAACAAAATGCAAAACACTACAAATGCTACTCCATTGGTGTAACTCCATTCATAGCATTTGGATGTTCTCCTAAATTCCATGGGTCATCCAGAGCTGCAAGCAATTTTGCTAAACTTTTATGACCTTCCGTATCAATGTTTTTGGTCATTTCATGAGAAAATGGTACGTATTCATCACAAAGTACACTCTTGCCCTGAGACACTCCATATATTTCATACCAGCCTTCCAAAGCCTCACTAAGGGGCTTTTTTAATCTTATAAGAATTTCTTGATCATCAACGGTTTTAACATAGAAGCCTTCACTAGCCGAAACTTTAGTAACTTTTCCCCAAAGTGTAACTTTCGCGCCATTTCTTTGAGGTAAGTTGCCGGCTGTAACGTATGGTACAAACTCATCGTTATCGGGGTACTGATTATCTTCAAAATCGTCATGGTCTGCCATAGCTTAAAGCAATAATTATAACAGAACAATCGGACTAAATTAGACACAAAACTTTATAAAAATTGTACTTAATCTGTCAAGCCTTTGAAGTACACATGAGGCAATCCAAGGTCAACTTTGTAGAACGCTCCAAAGAGTATGGTAATATTTAGAAAGGACCCCTCAGAACCAAAGAGTATATGATCACTACACTACGTTTAGTCAGAACCATAGTTATTGTGCTCATAACAATTATTTTTTAAATGTTATTTAGATGAACTATAAAACTAAAATTTTATTAGAATTAGTTTCGTTATTAAATTACGCTTCTTTGAATTAACAGAATTTACTTCAAATGACGAGTTTCCGCCTCGCGTCGCGTTTACGTCACATACTTTAGTCTTATATCCTTCGCCGCGTGAGTGTAAGAGGCAACTAGAAATTTTACAAAAAATTAAGTGGGTACAATAGAAAGTTTTTTGTTAGTTTTTATACAAATGGTAAGTAATTACACTGTTTTAAAATTTAATTCCTTATATTTTGCTTCGTAACAATTTCATATATTTTATAAAATTGCCATTTCAAATACTGTGTCGTTCACGTATCACTATATTTAATAGCCAGAATTAACTGAAAAGTAAATAAAAAGTGTGAGTTATCACAATAAATCATGTAATAAACACAAATTTTCATATCCCACAAAGTCCAATGCGCGAAAATTACGTTTTATGTTATAATTTCGATATATAGTGAACATTATGGCGAAGTTGTTTTCAACAATAACTAAAAATAAAAATGTGAATGTGAAGCACCAGCTTTCAAATAAAAAAAGAATCATCGAATTCAGTTCACCCAGAAGGTTATGAGGTAACACACATAAAAAAACACAGTCGACTTCCTTCTCCTGTTTGAAGTCGTTAGAAAAATGGCGTTGCTCAAAGATAGCGTAATAAAGTATATACTTTATTACGCTATCTTACGGATGTACAAGTATATACCTGTGATTTAATTTTTTTTTTGAGGCTTCTACTGAGTTTATCGATATAATTATATTATATATTTCTTTTCTTTATGAAAATCAAGTGTTTCTATGTCCTTGTTTCTTTCTTCATAATATTTATTCGATTTTAACATATATATATATATGTATATATATTGAATTTTAACATAATATAGCGATTCGTTAGATTTGCCTTAGTTGTAAAAGTGAAATAATATTTACTTTTTTTTCTTTTCAGTAGAATTGTTTGGTTTTGTTATTTAATATTGTTTTAACCATTGAACTTGTTTACGCAACTTTTGTTTAATAAATTGTTTGATGCTGTTTGATGACTTTTTTACCCATAATTGTTTACCACCGGCGGATTTTCCGGACCGATACGACTTAGGGACCTTCAAGAAAAGAGCTTACACCTTTCTAAACGGCCGGCAACGCATCTGCAATTCCCCTGGTGTTGCGGTTGTTCATGGGCGGCGGTAGTCACTTACCATCAGGTGAGCCGCATGCTCGTTTGCCCCCTCTTCTATAAAAAAAAAACACAAAAATATTTTTTTTAATAATAAAATTAATCCCTCCCTCTCCTTACAGTTTCATTCCACTGCTGGTGATGGACCGTTACATCCTATAAAAACCCCCAATGAACATAGGCCTCCACTATATTCCTCATAGAGCGTATAATTGTCATAGTTGCCACGTTCTGTTCCACGGTACACGTACCTTGTTGTATTGAACAGTGGATCAGTCGCCTCTTACGAAACCCACGGAATAGTATGAATATTCATACACCGCCACTACACAGTAATTGATAATTTCTCGAAACATTTCATTTATCGACAAATCGTCTTGCAATCGTCGTCACTCTAGCGCTCACTTGACCTTCATATAAATAATTCGATATTTTAATTGTTGATAATTTTTTATTTTTGGATATGAACATAGTAATGACTCTAAGTTATTTTTACCATTTTTTTAAAAAATCGTCTGGCCTGACCTACTATACTCTTTGGCTTGACCATAGTTCTAACTAAATATGTCCAATAAAATGTCAAGGTCTGAGAGGTTAAATGACCGCATTAAATCGAATCTCCGAATCAGTCACAAACTCTCAAACTATAATATAGAAACACTAGAATCAGTTGAATAATTGGATTTGACCACAGACTACATTCTACGCATGATTTGACATTGACAGTGACTGATTGTTGTTTTTATTATTTGCTCGAGAGAGCACGCAAAGGAACTACGCCATACAGCCTTGTCTTTATGTATAATTATCCTTCATAGTTCACTGCTTCACAATATGTTGATGCGTCACATTGTGCAGCCCTTGGGAGATTTTGACGGCAACTTGAGCCAGCAGGCAGCTGACAGTTGGAGATGGTATCTAAAGGCGCCTATGCAAACAAACAGCTTATCTTGAGAATCCATCACCATCAGAGCACTTGTTTCACCGTTTCCACTAATAGTTCACATGTATAGACAGTTAATACATAAAATCGCACCACTTTTACATATCAAAATCTACTTCAAACTATTATTTAAACTATAATACAGGAGCAGCAAACCGCCGCCGATGAAGTTCCCGCCAAAACTCCTGACACGGTGACTGACCCTGACTCCTGAAACATTCAACTTGACCCTGACCTGCAAATTCCAAAAAACGCAAGAAAATTTGAATTTCGCGGGCCACCCTGGAGCTTTCACCCTAACTCGAATTAATTTGAGTTGAATCTCCCTAACTCGAGTTTGAGCTTCTGTACATGAACGGATCAAGCAGAACGTGAGCCAGCCAAAGAGTAAGAACGAGCTTCGTTCGTTGTGTGCGTGCTTTGTTACAAAGAGTATTTAGCTACAACCAAAACTTAAACTTTGTTTAGAATTTTATAATAGCATAGTTATGTATGAAATTAAATTTATTTTATAATGTTGATTAATTATGATCAATATAGTTATGAAAGTTTCAGACCTATTATTGTAATACCAGCAAAGGGTGATTAAGTTGTAAGATGCATCATAATTTAAATGAACGTCGAATGTAACACTTACAATAAATATTTTGAATTTGAAAAAAAATAATTTATTTAAGAATATTCTGAATGTGACAATTAAACTATTAATAGCTTAATATGTACCTACATCTTAAAGCTAGACTAATATTGTTTCGTGAAGACTGATAGTGATAAAAAAGGATAGCAAATCTCATGACTTTGTAACCGATTTCGAATGACAGCGGCACAATTCTACAGTAAAGAAATAAGCTCGTAGATATTTTGTAGTTTTAAAGTATTCTACTATTATTTTACTTGTTCTGTGAGTGACTGTGGTGTAAATAAAAGAAATTATCCTGATAATTGCAAATTTTACAGGTAAATTCTCAAGGCGTCATCAATAATAAGATGCATCTATTTTTGACTAAAATTTTTGTTATATACTGTTTAAAATATAGAATATATTCAATTATTTTGTTAATTTTGTATTTTGCAAAGAAAAAAGTCACCTTGTGGACAATTTGCATGAATTTGGTAAATACATTTTATACAAAATATTTTACATGTACGCTAGGGATTGACTTAACTATATCAAAATTAATGTCGATATTTATCTTCAATGTTTATAATGAATTGGTAGACTTGCCCACACAACAAGAAGAAGAATGAAAATAAATACTCAGTTTGCGTTCTAAAAATGTAATTTTATTTTATTTTTTGTCAAACAGATTTCCTCCGAATTAGAAAAAAAAAATGTTAAGTTTAACTGGGCTCGTTGGTTTTAATCCAAAGAAGAATTCAACAATTTGCATCAAACATTTTCCTTTAGCCTTTTCTATATCAGACTTCAAAAACTTTTGATAGAAATAGCGATAGATTTTTATATATTACAAAACTGTAGTACATTCAAGAAAAAAAAAAACTTGAGATTATCCTATTTAAGCCTTTAAGAATCCAACTAAGTATTTATTTATCAACTGAAAAAATGTATAACCGTACTCCACGGTGCGTAAAGACATGGTTATACAGTCACTCCAGGTGCGGGTGGCACCTCACGGTCATACTAGTACAATATTCATACGATAACACTATTTTACCCAAAGAGTGGAACGGAGCTCCGGATTATATTTCCAAGTCACAGTCACAAATAAAACTTAGCGTAAAAGTAAACTAAACGTAGGGCGCGGTTCAGTGTGCCAGGATAGTAAAAATTCCCTAGTATTTGATACTCACGACGCTCAATGCCCGACGACAGTGTGACGAGGGCTTGATAGCGTGGTTCATCGCCTACAGCGTTAGTTGTAGAGAGGAGGAAGTTGTAACAGCTGCGCGGAATAACAGGCCTGCGAGATTAAGCTGTACTTGCCACGGTCAATCCATGGATGGGTAAGCGTTTTCTTAACATACCAAGGTTGAGAGAATAGAGTCATCTGTATCCTCAGAATTTTGGTGCACATTAATATCTCCTGCGTATTTGGCTTGTGTCTGTTAAGCGCCTCCCTCACACAAGCAGCTTGTGGTGGCGGCTAACTGCGAGCCGCGGGTCCAGCCGCTGTAACAGCACACCACCGAGGTCCCAGTGGCGGCCTGAAGCTCCATTCACTGTGGTGTCTGTGCTACTACGGCTAACCGTGACGATGTCTGCAATGAGTAAAGTACTGCTTTGAGTAAGTGAGCTACTAAGTGAGCTTATAAAACATATTTTTTGTGCATGGGAGAATTTAGAGGATGCTTTGGGTATATTTTGTGACCTTTCCAAGACCTTCGACTGTGTTTACCATGAGACATTAATCAGGAAGCTACAGTACTATGGTGTCAAGAACACAGCGCTTAAACTTATTATTTCATATTTAAGTAACAGAAAGCAGAAGGTTATATCAATGGTAAAAGTTCTTCCGGGTCACCTGTACTAATGGGTGTCCCTCAGGGCTCGATTCTCGGCCCATTCCTGTTTCTGGTGTATATTAATGACTTACCTCACTTTGTAGGGGATAGTCATAATATAGTATTATTTGCTGATGATACTTCCTTGA